ATTGATTTTCTAATGGACAGTGATTCATAAAACACATTCATGAATCGGAGCTCCTATTGGAGAATTATTTATCTACTTCTTTCTTAAGAAGGAATGGATTCCATCTCGTGTAATAATATTCCCGGCTACCTACTTCATCATGTCTCCAAAATACAAGGAATAGGATTCAGGATCTCAGAATCCGTACCGAGTAAATCAAAAGACACAAATCCATAAATAGGAGTCTGTTAAGAACTCGGGATTAAGATCATCCTATATATGACCATCGGTAGACTCAATTAGAATTTCTATACTTAACGAAATTATTAGAAATTCATATTGTGTCTGTGTCCTTGTTCCACATAATCTCATTATGCGAAATACACTCATTCAATATCTCGTCATATTAACAGTGCGGATAACACCGTTCCATTCTAAATGGGAATGACATGTATTAATAATGTTTTAATTAAAGATTCTGAACTTTAATTAAATTCATTATGAACATTGCTTTTTGATTATTATCCTTAAACATTATCCTCTCGTATATAACACTTATATACAGTGTTTAAGGTTACATAAATAATCATGGAATTTTCATTGATATTCACAAAATATTCATAAATATATGCACATAAAATAATGAATAAACTATTTTATTAAATAAATAATAAATATCCTATTACATCTCATGCTTCTAGGACACCATTCCCAACAGTTACCACTTATGTGAATGACAATAATTTGCAACTCTAGTGTGATTGACAAGCCACAAATAACTAGTGGTACACTCCTGGAAGCTGAGTTCGATTTGTTAAATGGTACGTGAGGTTCGTGTGTGCGATTGCTAAGACCCATTGGCCTGGAGTCCAGGATAGCCACACAAATTGAGCATCAGCCGGCATAAGGAAGTCCCACGGGCCCACTAGCACGTGCACATTAGGATACTAGTCCATTAAGTATGTGATAAGTTATGCACATTATTATGATATGATAATATTGTGCTATGACTTATTATAGAATGATTAGTTCATGATAGTGTATGATATGAGGTAATGTTATAAATATAAGAGTATGATACGACATGGTAGGACTATAGCATGATAAGACTACGTGGATTTAAATTATGTATGTCTCTTAGTTAGATTTAATTATGATCATGTTAAATGGGAACATGTGATTAATATTGTGATTGTATTGTTTTCTAGTGTCTTCTTAGTTGTTGTGAACCCCTAATAAGAATGCAAATATTTGTACGCTAGATTATTAGGGATATTTATGTGTTTCAGATTTTAGCTACTTCAACGTGTTATTCTTATTTAAATCTTATGCACGGTTGTGCTTATAAGAGTACGTGACTACTTGAGAAGGCTTCGGTTATGGTAAGAAATTGATTAAGATTTATGATATGGTATGCTTATACTAATGGTATGTTAAGATTATGATGTATGATATGGTATGATTATGGTTATGATATGTTAAGATTAAGACTTATGATTATGATTATGGTATGTTAAGATTATAATTTATGATATCTTATAATTATGATTATGGTACGTTAAGATTATAATTCTCATACGTTTGAATATGATTTATGAAAGTCAAAATAATAATCAACTGATACTATGAATATTTAATATGACAAGTTTATGAATAGTTGAGTATAATACACTCCTATATGAAACATGTTAGGAGTTAGTACGAAGCATTGACTATTATGATTACTTATCGGTTAGTAAAACTTATGAATTATTTGACTATGTATATTAAAAAAATTATGAGTACTTGAATTAGGTATTCAAATTAATATCGCTTATGTCTACATTTATGTCCATGTCTCTTTTCAGCTAAGGAATTATTGTGTCATGTTGCATCCATATTTAGAGTAGCTAGTCTACTCGCTTTCTGAGCTTCCTAGCTCACTAGGATTCCTTGTGTTGCAAGAAAAAGGAAAGAAAAATGTTAAGGTAGAAGCTCAGTGATCGGGAAAGCGGATTGAAGTGAATGTGTATATAGGGTTAAGACTTGTAGTGATCAAACGTTAATATTAATTTTTGAGAGTTGGTCTTATGACTTTGATATGATTTCCACAAAGTTATGTTTTTAATTAATGAACCCCTTTCAAGCACCTTTCTCTTTTCAAATTTTAAAACTTCTATGTTTTGATTAAGAATTTATAAGCTTTTAAAAGTTTAAATATTCCGCATGCTTATTATATATGTTTGTATGTAGAAAAAAAAGATCTGTAAATATAGTATAATATGTATGTATGTGCGTTATTTTTTTCCATCACAATTCATCGCCGGCCTAACATAGTTGGCAGCTGGCGGCGGGTTGTGACATGATCCTTGACCAACACTCCTAACATAATGTAAAGAAAAGTAGAACCTATCCTAAAAAGTATGTTCAATACACGATACAATTATTAAAGCATCCTTCCACACTTGTTTGCTTTAATCACATGTAGAATAAATAACAGTATTAATCTATATCACCTATACTAGTTTCAAAGAAAAACACACTCAAGAAAATTGATGTAGAACCGAGATAGAATGTAGAACATAAATAGAATTTAGATTAAAAAAAAAAAAAGCAGAGAGAATCAATAGGAGAAATAATACTAAGATAGAGAAGAGTAACTACGAGGGAGATAGAAATAACGAGAGAACAAGAACTTAAGAGGACGAAACTAAAATTCAATATTCACTAATAATCATAAAAAGCCTAAATAGAATTACAATCACTAATGTATTTATAGACATGTGAAAGATAAATTGAACTAATTTAAAAATAACACTACGAGATAAATATAACTCTAACTTAAATTTAAAATAAGTGATAAAATTATTTTGGTACTGTCTGGTTGGATAGCCTAAGTATCTTGTATTTGTAATAAAATTTAAACAGTACCTTCACCTTTAAAGAAATATTCTTCCAATACTTTAAGATCAAATTTTGTGAAATAAAATGACAATTCTACGATTCTCACTAATTAATAAGAGAATAATAATCTTTTTTTAAAAAAGTTCTGAAATATTTTAAATTATTTAAACTTAAAAAATTAAATAAGGTGAATTTTTTTAAAAAATATATTTTTAAAGTGATTAATTTCTATTTAATTAAGAGAAAGGTAAGTTTGGACATTTGTATGTTAAAAAAAATTATTAAAGGTGAATGTACCGTTTTGATATTATTAAAAAGATAAAATATTAGCAAGATCTTTCACCATAACAGAATGTACTAAAATAATTTCATCTCTTAAAATAAAAATAAAATATATCCTCATAAATAGCTATAATTTAAATTTAAAACCCCTATTCTAATTCGTCATATTTTTTCTTTCACTCAAAAGCCACTTAAAAAATCTCTTTACACATAATTTTCTAATTCCGGTGAAACTAAAACCAAAGTCTTTTTCTTATATATAAAAAAAAGGATAATTAACACTGATACTCTTGTATTTTGATCAAGAGAATGTCTTTGTTATTTTAGTAAAACACAAGGGTATTAGTGTTCCCGTTTGGTTCATGGATTAGAACCATGATATTAGAATCATTTTCGATTTACGTATGCTTTTTATGAGAGAAAATACTGTAGCAAATCATGAATCATGATTTGAATCAAAGAATAAATTCTCCAACCAAACGGGCTCTGAAGAAAAAAGTTGAGAGAGGATAACCAAACAGTAAAATCGGATTATGCATTTACGGTTTGAACAAATGGGCAATTATTATTTTTTTTTTATAAGCAAACTGTGCAACCATTTCTTTTTAGTTTATTAAAATCGTTTATCCCATTTTTTTTTTATCAAAAAGTAATTCACATAAGCTGTCAGACCACTATTACAAATCTTTAGGCTACCCTTGTCTTATTAAATCCGTTGAATGTTCATCACACTTCAAATTGAAGTGCTGATTGATACGCTCAGTTTATAGGTGTTGGATTGGTGACAATTTCAAAAAATATATTATTTTTTTCAACACTTGCCAAAAAAAATCCCATAAAAAAACACTTGGAAATAATAAAAAAACAAAATGAAAAAACAAAAAGAGAATAGAGAAAACCAGTATCGCGTTAAATAGGTAGATTGAAATCTATCGTCTGTCGCTTAAAAGGAAGTTAAATTGGGACCAACAAGGATAAAGCATCACCACCGTTCATTTACACGACTCTTTCGAAGATTCATCAATGGCGGACCTCAATCTCGCGTACCTCTTGTTCGTTCTACCTCTCGCGCTTCTCGTCTTCCTCTACTTCATAGTCCGTCCCCGCCCGGTCAGGATCCCGATCAAGAACCGCCACGTCTTCATCACCGGTGGATCGAGCGGCATCGGGCTGGCCCTGGCCCACCGGGCCGCGTCGGAGGGCGCGCGCGTCTCCATCCTCGCGCGGTCGCACGACAAGCTTGAGGACGCAAAACACGCGATCCGCCTTGCCACCGGCGTCGACGTCGCGACCTTCGCCGCCGACGTGCGCGACGCCGACGCCGTCCGTAGGGCGGCGGAGGAGGCCGGGCCGATCGATGTGTTGGTCGTGAACCAAGGTGTATTTGTCCCAGAGGAGCTGGAGAAGCAAGGATTAGATGAGGTGAAGTTCATGGTGGACGTCAATCTGATTGGAAGCTTCAACATGATCAAAGCCGCTTTGCCGGAGATGAAGAACAGAGAAGGTCGCGGACCGGGCTCAATCGCTCTCATGTCGTCCCAGGCCGGTCAGGTAAGGAGATAAATCCAACGCAATCAAATTCGCCATTTTTAGGGCATTTGAATTCGAATTCTGATTTGAAATGATTTATTTATAAATTCTAGGTTGGAATTTATGGTTACACAGCTTATTCTGCGAGCAAATTTGGTCTGCGAGGTTTAGCAGAATCATTACAACATGAACTTATCGCAGAAGACATTCATATCTCTCTTATATTCCCTCCAGATACAAATACTCCTGGTTTCATTGAAGGTATGAAATTGGTTTGTGATTTGGATTAAGATTTTTCGTATTTGATTGACCAGTTTTCCGGATTATGAATTCTTATGTACAATTCTGAGGCTCTGTGTAAAAAATGAAGAGAGAAAAGAGAGGACTTTTTTCTTTTCCTTTGTTTTTGTTTTTATTTTGGATTACACGTCATGAAAATTATGAATGCATATGGTGGAAATTCGCAGGTTCTCTAAAGCTGAAATCTTGTTTAATCCTACTTTGCGCCTAACATGCTACATTTTAGTTTTATGAAGTATTGTAACTGTTTTTTTCATGATATGCATTGTTTTTCATTTGGAAATGTCAGAGAGCAAGAAACGACCACCGCTAACACGCATTATTACGGGGTCCTCGGGTGAGATGAAAGCCGAGGAAGTTGCAAAGAAGGCTCTGGACGGCATAAAATGTGGCAGCTTTATTATCCCTTGCAACTTCGAGGGACTCTTGTTGTCCATTGCAACTGCTGGATTATCTCCTCAGAGATCATTTCCAATGGCTTTCGTTGAAGTGCTCACCGCTGGTTTGATTCGTGTTGCGGCTCTGTGCTTTCAGTGGAATTGGTATGGAAGCATTGAGAAGTATTACGCTCAAAAACAACAGTAAGGTATTCTTTTTTCAGAGAACCGCACCAAGCAGAAGAAAATGTTGCCAACTTTGGTTGAATTTTTGCAGATTATGTGTTTCGTTCTAAATTATGTTGAATTTAGAACCGGACAGTTATGACTTTTTTTTTTTTTATTATGTTGAATTTAGAACCGGGCAGAAATTTTGTCTTTTTTTTTTTTTTTTTTTTTTTGTTGACAATTGCAAGTTACTTGTATCTTTCTTGTTTCATGACAAGCTGATATTTTTGGGATCGGACAAGATAAATCATAGTGCGCATCTATCTTTGTGTGGCCGTACATTTAGGGAGCTTGCCATATGGCAAAGAATACTAGGATCGCTTAGACAAGATTTGTACGGAATAGAGCCTTTTTATACGACTTGATTAATCTTCATTCTTACGATGTACTTGGGCAAAGCGAACTCGTTTTAGTTTAGATTCTCTTTCATATTAGTATATCTTTCATGGTCCCCATTTCAAATAACGATGTTTCATTGAATTTTTTATCTGTGATTCCCATTTTGTGGAGTGGAATTTCTAATTTGGGATTCCCCCTTGTCTTTCTTTCCTATCCATTCGAATGTAACATGTTGAGAATCTGATAATGCCATTTCTGAGTTCTAATATTTCTTGTAAGTTGAGAAACTTGACCACTTCTTGTTTATTCGGGATATTGGTACCTTATATTGTACAACTTCAATTGAAGCTGTTGATTTGGATAATTAGCAGTTTTGCCCTTTGACCGCTGAAATTGCTAGAAGTTGGGTTTTCACTAAGCATCAAATGTGCATGAAGCTTTAGCACTTTGTTTTGGAAAACTAATCAACCTTCTGGTGGTCAGAGGGTGTGTTTGAATGTTGTATGTGAATGTTTAGGGAATGGAAGTTGCGCTGTTTCTGTAACTTATTATTGGGAAGGTTATTTTTAAGTAAACCTTTCTGTTCTTAGGCAGTTTGTTGTAATAAGAACCCGTGAAGCGTTTCGATGATCGACACATTTTGTAGCTTCTTTCCATTTTGACTCGATGTTCCACTCTTTGCATTTCTTTGGATAACTAAGCAAAAAGGAAAAGAAATTTGGTACTAAAAACTAAATTGCACCTCTTTCTTTAATGCTACGTACTTTGATACCGGTGTCTTGTGCCTGTCATCTCATGTCAAGAACTTTACTCCGTGCATTTAGGTCCCGTTCATTTAATCGATTCGAGTTTTGTTACAGTAAAAAACTCTAAAAAACAGTCACATCTAACTTATTTACTACAGTAAAAAGCTCTCACATAAAGTCACATCTCAACTCGAATTAAAAATTCGAATCAGCGAACTAAACGGGGTTCTTAATCTTTTGCTAAGATGTAAAAGTCAACCTTATTTTTCTCTTTTTTTTTTTAACCTTAGAATCTGAGATCATATAGGATGTTACTGCATCAAAGATTAAATTTACGGCGTAAATGCCAACTATGATAATTTTAAGCGTGCAAATTTTTATAGATTATGAGCACAACGTAAAGTGGTTCCGGATATTGTCTAGCTGTTATTTTGCATCTGGCTTTATCTTGAGATATAGAATTCAAAGCTCCGCATCTTACAGTTATATAAAACAAGTAACCAAGCAAGCAACTATGCTGCTATCTCACCCTTAATCAATCAACGACACTACGAGCTTTCCTTCGCCTTAGGTTAAGAGGAGATCAAGTACATGTGACATTCACGATATGCAAGCCTCCTTGGTGCCGGTGTAAGCACTCAGATTTGAGTGTATTTAAGTAAATAACATATTTTAAAACTATTTGAAGTAAATAGCAGAGCGTATCTAAACTAAATTAAATAAATAGTATATTTTAAAACAATTTGAAATAAATAGTAGTTTACCGTGTAAATATTTTATTACGATTGGTAAAAATCTTTATTTACGTGAAAAGAAGTCTTTTTATTAGTTGTCGAATGAAAATTTACGTGGAAAATGATATTTTTAATAATTGTAAATAAAACATTTACACGGTAAACTGTTATTTAATTTAAATAGTTTTAAAATATGTTAGTCACTTAATTTAGTTTCAAAAATCCGTTGATTACTATAATTTTTTTAATGGATGTTCTCTAAAGTGAAAACTGAAAGGTATTATAGCTAGAGTCGCTAGTAAATAAAAGGTAGTTTCGCTGGTTTCTAAACAGTTAGGCTCTAATACCATCACTGGCCGAGAGCTCCACAAACCATAAACAACAAGGGACCTGTGCACTGTATAGCCACTGCGTCCATCTTGACTTTTGGCCTTTAGTGCCACAAGTACTTATTACTTATGGTCATGGAGATCGTAGCAATGATCTTAGGCTTAAACTTTCTAATGTGCAGGATCCTCTATTATAGACAAGCACAGAGCATACTAGTTAAGAAGAGAATGATTATGATATAAGGAAGGGAACTCAGAATTTTAGAGAGGAAGAAGGGAAATTTAGAAATTCATGTTTTTATTGCTAAGCAAACTTTTTATAAAGTTCTCTAGGTTGGAGGACTTCTGCCAAAGCAAGAGAAAGGCCTCGTGCGTACCAATAGCGTGTCTTGCCATTTGGACTCAAGACGGCCCCGTCAGTGTTCCAACGAATAATGGCCCAAATCTTTGAGCATATCTTGTACAGTATAACATCCTACTGTTCTCAAAAGAAGAAGAAGCCCATAAAGTCTTACTAGCCCAGTTCCATCAAATCGTGAATCACCATGCCATCATGCTCTTTGAAAAGAAAAGCCATACTACTCTGCCACTGATAACAAGATAGACCAAATCTACATAATAAGCTTAGAGAAATCGTTGTAAAGTGAGACTGCATAAAGAGTTGTACGCCGTGAGTTACCGACCGTTAGCATTAGTTTAGGGGTATTTGAGATATTTTTAGTCTTTTCAGCAGTCGTAAAATTTACGTAGAAAAAAAACCTTTTTACTAATCATAAATTAAACATTATGCAGTAAACTATTACTTATTTTAAATAATTTTAAAATATGTTATATACTTAATTTAGTTTCATAAATATACTACTTAATACAATATTTTTTGCCCTCACGGACCAAAGAGGGGATCGATTGCAAGCCCATAAACAATCCTTAAAAGCCAGGCTGAGAAAGTACAGGCCTTTAGGCCCACTAAGTTTACCATCCTCATTTCCCGTACCAAATATGTTCTTGCACATAAAACAGCATTTCCAACTCCTGGAAAAAGAATATTATCAACCAACTGAGTCAAGCAAGCGAGTCACCGAGTCGGAGTCGTAGCCATGGCATCATCACTCCTGAAGCGCACTAGTTACTCGGCAATGAAATTAGTCGCCGGAGCTCTGGCGATCGGAGGGTCGTCAAGAGCCTATGCGGCGATTGCAGCTGGGACTGACATAGTCTCGGCCGCACCCAACGTTTCCCTCCAGAAGGCTCGCAGCTGGGACGAAGGCGTCTCCTCCAAATTCTCCGCCACTCCTGTCAAGGACATTTTCAAGGCTCGTTTTCTATATCCTTATTTTGTCTTTTTTACAAATTAAATTGATAATTGATTAATTCTTTAGTAAATATAGAAAATTTCCTAGCTCAAACTCAATGTACCCTTTTTTTTTAATCTAATTTTCTTCGTTTTTTTTATTGTGTTCTTTTGATACTGATCTTTGTTTTTGTCTTCTTTTACCCTTTCTTTTTGTGGGTTTTTGTGAATTGGTACTTCAGGACAAGAAAGTTGTCATCTTTGGCCTCCCTGTAAGTTATTTATACTCCCTCCTTGCACTCATTATTATTTTAGTAGTAAGTTTTTTATGTACAATTTTTCCCTTTTCCTTGTTAAGTTAGGTACATATATTTAAATTGTCTTAGTCTTTGATCAAATTCAATTTTTTTAAAGCCTTCCCATTATTAGATCACTTATGAAATTGATAATATTCACACATTTAGACTAAAACAAAACCTTTAAAAAAATCAAAATGATTTTATGGGCATGTATAATTTAAAAAAGGCTCTAATTTTGTGATGTTTAAGTTTCAATTTATATTTACAATAGTACTTGGTTTGCCTTACAACATTCCAGGGTGCATATACTGGAGTTTGTTCTCAGCAACATGTGCCCAGTTACAAGAACAACATTGACAAGTTTAAGGCCAAAGGAATTGATTCTGTAATTTGCGTGGCTGTTAACGATCCGTATGTTTTGAATGGATGGGCAGAGAAACTTCAAGCCAAGGATGCTGTAAGTCATTCACCCAAATCCCATACTTTGATTTCCATTTCCCAACATAAAAATGTCTTTAGACCCCATTTATTTCGTTTATTTGAGTTGAGAACTTGAGTTAAAAAAAAATACCGTTTGGTTCACAGTTTGAGTCACAATTCAAACCTTTTTGCTAATACGTTCTCTCAAATGTTTGAATTTCTATTCAAACCTATGAACCAACCAAAACCTAAGCAATTCAAAACGCTCTTATGTGATTTTCCAATGCACTAAAAAGTTTCTAAAATGATATATTTGATGTGCTGCTCTACTTTGTTCTCAAATGCACAATGTTTCACATGCTATATCTATTTCAAATAATTCTAAAAGGACGGTGTTGTAATGATTTAACATTCAATATATTTACTGGTAAATTTGTCACCAAGTATACCATTTTCCAAATTTAACATAAGAAATAAATTTGTATTGGAGAGTGACTGATTTTTCACTCAAATGTCAAATTTTGACATTGGCACCGCTGCATCGGAGAAACTCCGTATGCCAAATACGCCCTTAGCGTGCGTTTTTTAACCTTAGCATTTGAACATTTGCCATGACAGATCGAGTTTTATGGGGATTTTGATGGGGGCTTCCACAAAGCCTTGGACTTAGATAAAGACCTCTCTGTTGCTTTGCTTGGACCTCGCTCTCACAGGTACGATCTTTAGCCGCATTTGCCTAGTATTTTTCACTTGGTTTTGTTTAATGAAAAAACAACCCTTTTTTTTTTCTTTCCTCGCCTTTGAATATGGAGTTACTGGTTCGTTGTCTGGTGTAGATGGTCGGCTTATGTGGTTGATGGGAAGGTTAAGGCTTTTAATTTGGAGGAAGCACCGTCTGACTTCAAGGTTTCTGGTGCAGATGTTATTTTGGGACAGATCTAAACTTGCTTCTGAATAGTGTTTTTTTTTTTTTTTTTTTTTTTTTCACTCCGTAGTTATTTGGTTGTTAGATTCATGTCATGATTCGAATCATGGTTCGTAGTTTGTTACAGTATTTTCTCTCACAAAAAACACGTAAATCGAAAATGATTCTGAATCATAATTCTGAATCCATCAACCAAACGTCAAACGTCAAATATCATCCGTTAATGTATGTCGGATTCAAGAGTTGTTTTTGGCTTTTGTCTCTGCTCATAAAAAATAAAAATGATGTTACCAACCTTGTGGATTAAGTTAAGGAGTTGACGTGTAATGCAATGGATTTCTTAAGTTTTTGCATTTTACCTTTATAGTATATTCTAATTTATCACCTTAGCAATGTGATTTTACACAGCTACTGGCATTTAGAAGAAAACAAACAGATGCTAAGGAAATTAACTAAAGTAAACTAGTTTATTTATTTTTGCCCGTTAGTTCGTTATTTTTGCACGTTAAACCTTGGAAGATCACTTTTGCTTCTTTCTCAAGTTTAAAACCAAATTCATTTAGGATTCGTGGATGCACGTTTGTTTTTGCCATCCATGATTCCATCATAATCACGACCCACGTTTCTACTTTTTGCAATTTCTTTAGAGTGAAAAAAAAAAAAAAAAACTAAATTAAAAACTATGCTTTATAAAGCAGATCCAATATTTATATATGTGTGTGTGCATATATATATATATATATATATATAGAATGTTTAATGCCAAACAATGGAGGCAAACAGGTTCCAAAAGAACTCTACCCGAATCCACTCTCATAAATCATTCACAATCATACAGAAAAGAGGAAATAATGGCTAGTCAAACGCATGTACAGGCGTATGCAATGCAGGACGCAAACCAACCAGCGGATTGGCCTCTTCACATTACATCACTTGCATCGTACTTGCCTTCTGCTGTGACCTTATTTGACAGCCCAATTCCAAACTTGATAGCATACATTGCTCACTCTGCGAAAAAAAAAAAATAATAAAATACAATAAAATAAAATAAGTCAGTGCTGACTGCTCAATGTTTTCTGGGTTTTGTTTGCTTTCAGTATATAGAATATGTACATTGCGTTATTTACAGAACTAAGATGCTTTTAACTTGTTTACTAACAAAAATGAATAGATACAAGAATGTAGAACCTTTAGATCGAGAGACTTCCACTCTGCCTGGGATAACAATAGAGGGGTGGGAGGTGGCATCTGAATTTACATCGTCTGCAACCTTTCTGCTATTTTTACTCAGAGATTGAACAATGATATTCTCCAGCACGCCTTTTCCCTTTGTAGAGAGGTTTGAAATTGAACCTACCCCATTGTGGCTCGAATCTGGAGGAGAGACACCGGCTCTTTTCGAGCTAAGATCAAAGCGCTCTATCATTCGTGCCACACCAGCAATTCCTGCGCTCATCTCGCGCTGAACTCCTTGGCTTAGCTCTTTGACGGAGTTATTACGAGCAAGTAGCTTCTCCTTCAACCCTCTGGTGCCTTTTGAGATTGATTCCTTGTATCTATCAAATACACAATAACGTGTTAGTATCTAAGGGAAGAAAGGAATAGATAAAAAGATTATTCAATTGCAAAATATCTCTACCTGGCTGAAGCAGCAGACCACTTAGATTTGATTGAATCAGAGAAAGTGGACGTCTCAGATGGGGTTGGTCTCTCTGGACGAACAGAAGGTGGCTGACTGTACAGAACTCTGGAAAATTACCCAAAAAGTAGCACATAAGATAAAAGATGAATGCTATTAATATCCGGGTAATGTAATTAAGCTTCAGTAAAAAAGAAAGCAGAAAGATGTTTTTTCTTTTTTTCCGTTTCTTCAGTCTTTACTAATAATAACTAGGCAGAAAGAGAGCAACAGCCAATTACATAAGACAAACGAGTATGAATACATAATGTACCCCAATAAATAATGTAAAGTACTTGGGACAACTAAAAGATAAAGTCGTACGCACAAACCTGGGTTTCAAAACAACAGCACCATCCATAGCAGAGCTGGGGTCCGCAGGTGGCGAAGGTTGAGCATTAACAGCAGGTGGCATGCCAGAAGTGGGTGAATTACCCACAGATGATTCATGATTTAAGTTTTGACATTCATGTGAAGATGTTTCATGTGCTTGATCCTCGCTGTTAGCAGGGGAAGCATAAATAAAGACTTGGGAAGGGCCCAGTCCAGAAGATCTATGCCTCTCCCTTCCACGAAGGCGAGCTCTGCTCGTGGCTGCAGCTAGATGCCGCATAATACGCTCGTCAAAAACAAATTCATCAGAGAAGGAGTCCTGGAAAATTCAATTTCATCTCCGAGATTACAGATCCACTCTCACCAAGCAACATACAATTATATGGAAATGAAACATACATACTCAAAGCTAAAACACTTACATGGTCAGAGTCCTCATCCTCTGGGAAATAGTGGACGGTTGAGTTTGCTATGGAAGACGTGTTCCTTGACCTTGAGCGCCTTTCCTTTTCCACAGCAGCTAGAAGCTCTTGGCTATACATGTTGAATAAATGAACTTAACCCAGGTCCAAAGCATAACAAAACAAACAAGCATAAATAAAAATAAGTAAAATATACCTAGCAGGATCCTTCAAGGCAAGTAACTGCCAACATATTGGGCACTCTTTGCTTCTTTGCGACCTATACTAGAAAAGATATTCAATAAGAGGAAAGAAAAACAATGACATCATATATAAATTTCATAAATCAAGTGTATGAACGCATAGGTTTTATCAGTTATCCAGATGAAGTTAATTTTGGCCTACCATTCAAGAATGCAGTGAAGATGATACTCGTGTTTGCAGCTAGTAATCTGAAACATATAAAAGATATGTATAAAAATTCAGTACTCGGATTTGGGGTTTTTTTTTTTTTTTTTTTTTTTTTTAAAGGTTAAAAAAGAGAGCAATTACAATCTGATGCGTCATTAATACAAGAGATCTAAAAGTACACAAAATATTTAAGTATTTGGACCACTGATCAAAACTATTCTAGAATACTTTATATTTTGTCATCAAGTGCTTTGTAAGAAACGACATTTCCCAAAAACAGAAAACTCTAGCTTCATGATAATCACATGACCAGTAAAAAGGAATTTAATAAAACAGAATTCGCAAACAGTTGGATAATCATATCAGGCAAAAACCAGAAATGAGGACCGAATCCACAATATCACATGTTGCATTTATAAAATCACAAGTGCGTAATTTCGACAATGCAAAAAATAAAAAATAAAAAATAAAAAACTGAATCGCGGAGCTAAACAAAATTAGGAGAGAAGATCATACAGTGGCGGGATCATCGGAGTTGAAAGGCTCCAGACAGATACTGCAAGAGTCTTCTTCGAAGTTGTCGTCGGAAGGAGGCGGCGATTGCGATGAAGACGAAGATATGATCGTCGTTGAATTCTCCGCATAACCAGAAGAAAACGAAGACGAAGAAGAAGCGAAAGTCGCCATTGACGAGTGAAAGTGAAGGAGTGATATGCAATGTTGAAGAGAGAGAGAGAGAGTTTATGGAAGAGAAAAGATGTAGAAGGGAGGTGAAGAAGAAAAGAACCCTAGAAAAAGTGGTAGAGAGGGCAAGAGAAAGCGAAGATGGTCTAAGGGGAAAGAGAAAGTGAAGATGGTCAAAGAAAAGAAATGCATTTGTGGGGAAAAATTAAAAGAAAAGAAAAAGGAAAGGGCCAGAAGGAAGGAAAGAAAAGAAGGCGCAGGAAATTCATCCGATTCAGACGCTTTGATGGAATCAAACCTTTTGATCCATTTGGTTCGGTTTTTATTGTTTCCTTTAACTTTTCTTTTCTCGAGATTATTATTATTCAATTAAAAAATATTTATTTTCACAGTTACTCCTCTAATTTTACTATATTTACATGCATTCCCATATCTTGCCACGTTTTAACTTTTTCACTTTTTCACTTTTTCACTTTTTCAAAGGTTTTTTCTTTTTCTTTTTTAGAAAAAGAGGAATTATTTTCTTTAGGATGGAGGAAATATTTTTTTTTTTGGGGCGAAAGAGGAGGACGTAACTCATGCTATGTAATTTAGATCTTAAATCTTTTGTCTATTATTTTTCTCTACCACTAAAAATAAAAGGTTATTTTAAAGTCATAATGGATTTTTTTTCAATTACACCCAATCATAGTAGTGCATTTTATAATATAGTTTATAAAGAAAATTCTTTTATTATTCAAATTATTTAAGTTTTCTTCTGCAACATTTTTCTTTCTTTTACTCTTGAAATTGAGTGACAATTGACAAATGAAATTGGGAGTCAATAAGGAATTACAGGAAAGGAGAAGAACTTTTTGTGAAATACAATAAATGTAAAGGGCATTAAAGAAAACAAAAATCTCAGAAATCTTTATTAGGTTGTCCGTTCCTTCACGCACGCACCGCACAAGTTCGATCGGATGAATCTAGATTGACGACATTTTCTGCCCACCTAATAAATTATTAAAAATAATGAAGATCGTGGTTTCCACAAAAAAATAATAATAAATATAATTTAAGAAGATCGTGATACGTGCCGTATGATCCTGGCCGTTCGTCACCAGAACTGGAACACTTTTTTTTTTTTTCTGGTTTTTCTCAACTCTTCTATAAAAACGACACGTCGTTTTCAAAACAAACAATGTGTCATCCCCTGAAATCTACATGTCCTTTGTCTTTTCGAACAAACCTTTTTAGACGCTCTACTTTGGCAAACAAATTGACACGTTATTTCAGCCAAAAAAAAAAAAAAAAAAATTGACATGTTACTTTGTCGGCTTCTAAACGACGTTTTATTTCATGGATGGGGCCGTTTATGCACAAATAAAAGTACATGTCGTTTGCATCATTTAGAGGACGTTGTTTTCTTTTACGTGGATTTCTCTGTCTATTTCTCAAATGTTTTCTTTTTTTTTTCCCCGCGAAGGAACAATGCGTCTTTCTTATTTTTGAGTAATTTAAGGTGTTGTTTAGTTTAAGGAAACGTTTGGTTCATGAATTAGAATTATGTGATTAGAATCATTTTTAATTTACGTGTATTTTTTATGAGAGAAAATATTGTAGTGAATCATGCACCATTATTCAAATCATGATTTGAATCCTCCAACCAAACATCCCCTAAGAGTTCTGAACCGGAATTATGATTTTAGTTTAAAATTAATGTTTGTTTTTAAAAAGTAAAGTGGTTCTGATTTAATTCATTTAGAATCAGTATTTGGTTAGAATAGTTTTGATTCAAGATTTGAATTTTGATGTGATGTTTGAAATTATGAATCACTCTTGATTCAAAAACTATCCACTCTCTTTAGTTTTGAGTGGTTCAAACTCTTGATTTTAGTTCTGATTTCATAACCATGATTTAGATCTAAAATTATGAATTATGGTTCTGATTCTAAAATTAAAAAACCTGATGCGTTTGATTGGTGTATTCGTGTCATGATTTGAATGATGGTTCGTGGTTCGCTATAGTATTTTCTCTCACAAAAAATACACGTAAATCGAAAATAATTCTGAATCATGATTTTGAATCCATAAACCAAACGTTTACTGTCTTGGAAGAATTTCCTTTTCTTTTGGGCAAATAAGTTAACAATAAATAATGTTTTTTTTCCGTTAAAAAAAAAAGAATATCATCTTTTTTTCTTAATCCAATACCGTATGCATCGAGAAAGGGAGATGTCGTTGTTCTCCTAAATCGCCATTTCATTTTCAGGGGGGAAAAAGTCTTTATCTTACCATTCGTGATAAAAACAACGACATGTTGATTGTGTTTGGAATTGATTTCGTTTTTTTTTTAAATGAAAACGTTTTTAAAACTGCTTTTAGCGCAATAAGACAAAAATAAAAATGAAAATAATTTTTTAGTTCAGTGTAAAATGAGAGAGAAATGAAAAACGACTTTTAGTCATTTTTTTTCATTTTTTGTTTTCGTCTTCTCCTCTCTCGAGTAGAGAGAGAGACATTAATGAGTTTTTTTATACTGAAAATAATCTCTTAATAAAACTACCAAACACATTTTTAAAAATGATTTCTGTCTGAGATTGAAAACGTTTTCATTTTCATTTTCATACAAAAAATAAAAAATCATTTTAGAACGAGTTTCAAACGCGCTCGACATTTGACACAATTAAAGACAAAAAACCAAAATGAAAATGATTTTTTAGTTTAGTATAAAATTGGAGAGAAATAAAAAATGACTTTTAGGCTTTGTTTAGAGTTGTTTTTGTTTTTGTTTTTCACATTTTTTGAAAAAGAAAAAATGAAAACTGGAGAGAAACGGCGTTTCGCACAATTAAAGATAAAAAATGTAAATGAAAATAATTTTTTAGTTTATTGTAAAATGGGAGAGAAATGAAAAATAAATTTTAGTCATTTTTTATTTTTTGTTTATGTTTTCTTTTCTCAATAGGAGAGAGAGAGATATTAATAGATTTTTTTGTACTGAAAACAATCACTTGATAAAACTACCAAACGTATTTTTAAAAATAATTTATATCTGATATTAAAAACGTTTTCATTTTTATTTTCATACAAAAAATAAAATTATTTCAAAACGAGTTCTAAACGCACCGGTTGTTTTGTTACTTACGCCCCTGGTACACAAACGACATCATTCTCTGAAAAAAAAAACGACATGTTGTTCATCAGAGATAACGGTTATCTTCTTACTCACTAGTGCTGGACAGTCTAGTAAGCTGCATACCTCTTCGGAGAAGAAGAGAGAAAAACAAACGGCATCAATGGCGACTCTCTCACCTCCTCCACAGCTTCTCTCTCTAAAACTCCCTTACTCTTCTCATCATCTTCCTTTCCGATTCCGAAACCCTAACCCTAGCCTCGTCTCCTCCATTCCCCGCTCTCCTCTCGCAATCCGCTCCGTCCCCAACCTTCTCAGCTCCGCCGCCGACGCCGTTCCCGACGAACAGAGAGCCGCCACTCTCCGCCGTCTCTGCGAAGGCCTTGTCCCCGAGCACGTGTTGCGAAGGCAAGGACTTTCGAATCAATTTTCCTAGTCTTTTCCTTCAATTGATAATCCTTATGATCGGCTCTTAACGTTTTGCAGAGTCGAAGAAGTCGGGTATATTGAACCAACCGATGTGCAAAGACAAGCTTTGCCAATTCTGTTCTCTGGCCGAGATTGCGTTCTTCACGCGCAGGTCAAAATCCTGAGAAATTTTTAAGCTTTTGATGTGCTTTTCTTTTTTTCTATGTCAATTGTGTAATGGAAGATATTTTTAGGGCTATTAACTTTTACAAGGTAATTTGTACTCGTTTCTCTGTCCTTTAGACAGGTTCTGGGAAGACTTTGACGTATCTGTTGTTGATATTTTCTGTTGTGAATACTCAAAGATCGGCTGTTCAAGCACTCATTGTGGTGCCCACACGGGAACTTGGTATGCAAGTATGAATCCGGTTCTTGAAATCTTAATTTCTTGGAATCTACGTTTAGATTAAAAAAAATTAAGGAAAAAAAAAACAGAGAGAAGTTTTCCGATTTATAGTTTCTTTGTCAATACTAAAGACCTTTGGGACAAAGAAAAAAAAGTTCTGCATTTTTTACCTTTAGATTGTAGGCCAAAAGGGAGAGACTTTTTAATGATTTGTCGTTTTATTTATTTATTTTGGTGGGTTTAACAAGGTTACAAAAGTTGCTCGTACTCTTGCTGCGAAGCCAATGGAAAGTGATTTGGAGCAGAAATCTTGTAGTGTCATGGCTCTTTTAGATGGTGGAACTTTAAGAAGACACAAGAGTTGGCTAAAGGTACTGCAATGTCTTTGACTAAGAGGATGACAAACCGACATATCAGTACTTTGCTGGAGTTCTTGGATAATAATTTTTCACTTCTTTTATCAGTTGAATTCAGTTCTCCTGGAAAATAATTGTAAAACAGAAAAAGAAAAATCTTGCAACTCTATTACATTCATTTATGAACCGCTTATATTCAATGCAACAAACATATATGATGGAAAAAGATATGACTAATGCATGCTCTATCAAATCCCTTTTTTATGTAATATATATATATTGATTCAGATGGCAATATAATGGTTTGCAGTACGATACATGTTTTTAACATCGAGAAGCTGAACCTAATTTCTATCTGCAATTTTTAGTTCTAAGGTTTAGTAGAGGGTTCTGGTTTTCAAAATGTGAATGATCATAACGTTCTTTGTATTCCGTGTTTCAGGCAGAGCCCCCTACAGTTGTGGTGGCAACCATTGGGAGTTTGTGCCAACAACTAGACAAGCAGATTCTTACTCTTGAATCAATGCGGGTTTTGGTAATTGATGAGGTAAGTTGAAACTTTGAAATTCATTGTGGTGTTTGTTATGTGGCTGCTATTCTAATGTAGAGCTATCTAGCATCTAAGACGTGAATTTGAAATGTCATCTCTTGGAATACATGTGTTCCCTATCCTGTCAAATAAAGCACTATGAAATGTTTACGGGGTATGTTTCACTCGTAGTATTCCTGCTATAAGCTTCTCAACCAAAATGACAACGAAAAAAATTAAGGCAGTCGTTTTTCAAATATCTTGAAATGGTTACTTATGTATTTACAACTCGATCAGGTTGACTTTATTTTCAACTCTTCAAAACAAGTCAGTTCCCTTCGAAAGCTTTTGACATCATATTCTACAATCAGTAATCGCCAGACTGTTTTTGCTAGTGCATCTATCCCACAGCATAGGCGGTTTTTACATGAATGTGTACAACAGAAATGGACTAAGGTTTGTTGTCATATTTCTTCTCCAAATTATTTTCGTTCATTATGTAATACTGCTTCTTTACATGAGCGCGATATATGTCTTTATACCTTTCAGAGCAATGTGGTTCATGTCCATGTCAATCCAATTGAGCCCATGCCATCGTGCTTGCATCATAACTTTGTGGTGAGCATTGTTTTTACTGCAAAACTAGTTAATTTTCTTCTTTTAATCCCCTTAAGTAGATTTCCTTACTAATGAAAAAAGGAAAAAAAAAAAAAAAATCTGTTCTAGACTGTGCTTACAGTTTGTTCTCTTACAGATTTGTGGTAAGAACAAGAGGCTGCAAACCTTGCTATCCTTGTTACACTCTGATGCTCCACACTCGGGCATTATTTTTGTTGGTGAGCAGGTGTGCAGCAAATGAGATTGAAGTTTGCATTTTGCTTCTCACTTTTGAAAGTAAAATTAATAAGAGTTCTTAATATGTTAATACTTTTGCAGTCCGAAAAGTCAAAAAAGGCTGGAAATGCTCCACCAACTACTATACTAATGGACTTTTTGAAGGATTCTTACAAGGGTGGTTCAGAAATCCTCCTTTTGGAAGAAGACATGAATATAAATTCGCGGACAGCTTCTTTATCGGTAAGTTCTAGCTATTTTATCCGCATACCTCCATTCACTAAATTTCATTTCAGCAGCTTCTGAAGTATATTTTACTTTTTTGATGCAGGAAGTGAGACAAGGAGGTGGCTATCTTCTTGTATCGACGGATTTAGCTGCCAGAGGAGTTGATCTTCCGGAAACCACTCACATATACAATTTTGATCTGCCGAGAACCGCCACTGATTATCTCCATCGAGCAGGACGAACGGGAAGGAAACCATTTTCGAATGAGGAATGTACTGTCACTAACATTATAACATCGGAGGAGCGGTTTGTTTTGCAAAGATACGAAAATGAGTTGATGTTTAACTGTGAAGAGCTAGCTACGTAGAGTAGAATTCATGAAAGCACTAGAAAAACATTGCAATAGAAATGCATTTTTAACTCAAATTATAGTTATACGTTTGCAATTTACAAAAGATGATAGTTTTGCACATCCACATTCTAAAAGGATGCCTTGATTGACTGAGCACAGTTACACTCGTATTTCATTATTTTCTTTTTCTAATCCAATCCTGACCCCAAAAGGGAGGGAAAAAAGGATGGAACTTGGAAGAAAATGTATTAGATTTAGATCACGGTTCCGTCTTGAATTACTGAATTTTTTAATATGATGGTTATGCCTGAACGGATGTAAAACCCTTCTGATGTTCTATCTGCTTCTTGAACACCCTGCAATAAAAAAATCCATGTTCAATTATAAATTGGCAGAAAAAAAGGGTTAATTCTGCAAATGGTCCTTTAAATGTTACTGTCAATCTCACTTTAGTCACCAACTTTTAAAATGTCCAAAATTTGGTTTATGATGTATCAGTATGTTTCATTTTTAGTTCTTTTCATCAGTTAGGTGTTAAAAACATAATAAAATATGGATAATTTCAGTTAACACGGTGTTGTTTTATATTTTGGCGTTAGAATCATGTGCATAGTTCGTGCTTTATCAGCAGAATGATACTTTCTATAAGCACTATGTGTATATCCTATGCTCTTTTTAACACTTAACTGGAGAGAATGACTAAAGCCGAAATAAATTGATAAATCAGGAATCGAATTTGGAACATTTTAAAAATTAAGAACCAAAGTGAGATTGATGATGAAATTTAAGGACTATTTGTGAGATAAACCAGAAAAAAATAAATAAATAAAGGATCTTAGTAGGTTTTGTATGATTGTTTGAAGGTTTAACCTCTGAGTTTGCAATTAACACATTCTTTCCAATTCTTGCGTTTTTGTCAATGATGCATTCTCTGCACAGTGCAACAAAAAGAATCATATAAGCAAAGAGATCATTTATCTGATTGGATATAGCAACAATATATATTACTCTTTGCATAATAATAATAATAATAATAATAATAATAATAATAATAATAATTATCATCATCATCATCATCATCATCATCATCATCATAATAAAAGAAGGGAAGTTATGTGTACTTGATTTTTGTGTTTTCTCCAATTCCAATAGGAACTCTTCCCTCAGCTAACAATGATGACACTTCAACGTCTGTTTCATAGAAATCAGCACCAAGCATCACAGTGTCCTGCGTAAAATTTGCTCATTTTTCAGTTTGTGAGTATTTTACAGGATTATAAGGTTTCTTTTTAGAAGGTAGTCGACTTTTTACAGAACTGAACCTTTAGGTGAGTATTAGAATTTATCCGAGATCTGATACCAACAAGGCTATGCTCTATGAGGCTGTTATTTATGAAACTTCCATGAGATATAATTGAATCAACAATCTGCAATAAAAAAGAGTATAAAAAAATCAGAAAGAATTTTAAACTTCACTAGTTTTAGAACAAATATAATAGACTGAAAAGAAAATGCAGTTAGATACTTGGTCATTGCCAATAAACGAGCTCAAACTTGTTCATTATATTTTTCTGTATAAGATTTTTTTTTTTTTTCCAACTTCTTAGTGTATAAGATAGCTAAAAGAGCCAATTGAAGACAGAGAAGCCTAACCTTGCTGCTGTCAATTTTTGATGGGGGCAAGTTTCTTCTTGAAGTATACATTGGCTTTGATGCATCATAGAAACTAAACATTGGTGGCTGAAAGAGAAGAAAAAAAGAAAAAAAAAGGACCCCAAATGTTAAAACTCAGTATTAGTCTTCTGACAAGCTTGTAATTGTAAGGATAATTTGCATCTGTTTACAAGGCTGCAAAAATGTTTTTCATTTCATAATAGCAGCTATACATATATGGCCTTGTACGCTTTAAGCCCCATTTGATTCATGCATTCAAGTCAGTGATTCTCATTTATTAACAGGAATTTTGTGAGAGAATCATTGGCGGAAATTTTTTTTACTCAATTTTTTTGTGAGAGAAAAACACTGTAGCAGAGTCAGAATCATGGGTTTAAATATATCAACTAAACCGGCACTTAGTTACTTACATGCTTGGTCAGGGCAAGGTTTGCCTCAAAGAAGGATCTGATAGTACCTATGTCTTCCCAATAATCATTAAACAAATAAGCCTGCAAGGCAGTTTTAAAGATGAAAAGGAAGACTTGTTGAGCCAAAAGAAAAAAGAAAAGCTTGAATCAAACATTTTATAAGCTGAAGAAAAAGGCTTAACAGACCTTTATGAAGAATTCTCTGGCTGAGGCTGGGATTATCTCCGATCCGAAATCATTTGCCGTCGGAAAACGCCATCTGCCTCAAAGAGTATCCAGGTACTTAGTTTCTCATGATCCAAGTTAAACATGACTATTTATTAATTAGTTAAATAATGACATACTTTTGGCTTATATCGTCACTAATGATATATTTTATTTTCTACATGAACTTAGTACCTTAAAAGATTCAGAAGTATTTCCTTCTTGAAGACATACACCCCCATGGAAGCAATATATGGTTTCTTCTCAGCCTCTTCCCTTGAGAGTCCCAAAACGGTTGTGTCTACTTGCTAAATAATATACTAAAATTAGCATGAGCAGTCAATTTCTAATGTGAATTCAAATTCTGGTAAGCTCGAGAGTTTTTAGTGTTAATTACCATTGCTTTCAGGTCTTCTCCTTTAGGCTTTTCACTGAATGAGAGGACCCTTCCTTTGTTGTCTATCTTCATTAGACCAAAATCTGAGGCTCGACTATATGAAAAGAGAACATATACATTATATATATATATATATATATATATATATCAGAATGGTGATGCATAATACATTTCCCTCTGTGTATATGCATAGCAAACTATTGAAACTCCAAAAACTTCAAATTAGTATGTATGGAAAGCCAAAAACTACATCATACCCATAATAGTAAATCAATTGTCAAGTAATTATTAGTACTTTTTTATAGCATTAACAGAAAATAATTATCATGAGTAATAATTACCTTTTTTTATAATTAGTTATTATTACCTTGTGCATACTAGTCATTATATAATTAATGTCATTATTAGAATAATATGATATGACCGACAGTGACACCAAAGAAAATAATTAGAGCCAATACTATTTATATTAAATACTCATTTTTATTAGTGTTAAAAATAATCAATCTTTAGTGAAATTGTCTTGTGGAGATACTTTAGTGGTAATAATAAAACCTACCTGTCATCCATTGGCAGACAAGAGAGAGTGATATCAGCACCACTCTGCCTATGCTTCTGCAAAGTACAAGATGAATTTTACTTAAAATTGGCCTTCAAATACTGTATTCATGGAAAGTGGAAAGTAAAATATATATATATATATATATTTCCTTACTTGAACAAAGTCCATATAATCCATTCTGTAAAGGTGATCTCCAGATAGAATTAGGACATCCTCAATGTCCTTACTTCTTGCATCCTACAGGAAACAGAAGTCCTAGATAAGAAATGCTCACATATACATATATATATATATATATATATATATATCTGTATAGATATAATATAGTTATATACCTCAAACAGCCAATGGAACTGTCTCACTGCATCTGCAGTACCCAGGAACCACCTCTTGCCTGCCTCTCCTGGTGTTTGAGTGGCTGCTAGAACCTGGCCATTGAACAAAGAAATAATGCAGGTGAAAGATTTCCACAATGGTTTTAATTTCCTTATTTTCACTTTATCTTGTGGGCCCTAATTCCTACTATTCGAATTGAAAAGATTAACGAAAATAAGTAGAGCACACAGTGTAAAAGTTACCACATCCACTTGTTGTTGCAGATTTTTCACAACCATCAGAGTAAGAAGTACAAAGTACAATAAAATGCTTATCTCAGTCTTATTGTAAGACAGCTGGTATAACTAAACTAATACATAGGTAAAACACCAAAAATGCGATGATATATGATATGAAACTCGAGTGACATGTACCTCAACAGAGCCATCGCCAAAGGTGACACCATTGCCAAAGTTGTAGGCGCGGGCGAGATGCCGATTGAGCGAAGCCGAGTTGAACTGAGTGAGAATGTAGACTTTGTTGATCCCACTGTTAATGCAGTTGCTCATTGGCACATCAATGAGTCTGTATGATCCCCCTATGGGAACCTACAATAACATTTAGCACCACCACCACATGTTAATTGTTAAAGACTTCTCACCCATAATTATAAACGAAGCCCAAAAATATATAAGGTAAAATTTAGGATCAAAAAGAAAGAAAATGAGGGCCAAAATGCAGTGTATTTATGTGATAAGACTTACAGCAGGTTTGGCACGGCGCTTTGTGAGGGGAAAAAGCCTAGTACCAGCTCCTCCTCCAAGTATGATTGCCGCTACTGTCCTTGGGTCTCGTTTTTCCATGTCGAAATCTCTCAGCTGCACTTAGTAATATCCCCATAAGTATAGCATAATGCACATTATTTAGACTCAAATTTGTATCATCATAAGGTTGGCCATATGGTGGTAGCACAATATGTATGTGTGTGTGTTTTTGTTCTTTTCTATTGTATTGAGACTTATTAAAAAAAAAAAGAAGAAAAAAAGAACGATTCTTGTCTGTTCTCTACGAATTCATAAGATAGTTCTTAAAATTAGGAATCTTTTTTGTGGGACCAAGTGTATTGTTGCGGAGCTCATTGCGACTATTCTTTTTACAACTCAAGTTGCACGGTAGGAAAAGAACTTAAGTTGTAATTTAATATGTAAAAAGAACAAGGTAGCATTTTTGTCTGAAAAATACTGAAAACACGTTCAGTTTTTTCTTTACATCTACATTAGGCAGTAGGGACACTTAAACAAGAGAGAGTCCATATATAATGTGTCATTTATTGAATAGCTAACCGCATTCCACATACTATTTACTGCCCAACATGTTGCCATCAATTGCTGCAAATTTGGTGGTGGTCCTGTGGATTACTAAATCATGGGCTTGACTGAAGCCCAAAACCGGTATCAATGCCTCACACCAAAAGGGTATGTGATGAACATTGGCCCAAAGCATTATTTCAATGTTCTATCCACTTTCGTGGATTTTGAAATTTGCTTCATGCTTGGGACTTTTGAGAGCTGTAATTAAGCTTTAAGATTAAGGACCCCCGGTGGGGCAACTCTATTTTCTTAGCCTTTTTAATGCCCCCAAAAAAGAAAATTCAGGATAAAATAATAGGGACTTTAATTATTGCCATATCACCAAATTTATAAACATTATATATATATATGTATATATATGTATATATATGTATATACGTGTATATATACATATCAATGACATTAATTAAGATATAAATATTGAAATGAGACCACTCACCTTGGTCTCGGCTGCTACATCAGCAGTGAGAGACATGCAAACACGTTGCCTAACATTTTTAGCGACACAAGCAATTGATTGCTGAAGTTGGGTCTGCTTCAGCTTAGTCCCCATTACTTCCCCATTACAAAACTTGACAAGCCTCCAGTTCCTCCCCCCCAACCCCGCCGCACCACGTAGCTGGCCGGCGCCCGAGAGGGAAATCCGGCAATCCGCCGACACCGCCATCTATATTTTTTCGCCTTCCTTGTGAAATCCGAGGCCCCAAGGAGAAAATGGGAATTTTCAATCAGTGACCAAAACTTTGTTATGTGAAAAATTAAAAGCCCCTGTGGAGAGGAGAGCAATGGAGCTAGTAGTCATTTGAGGATTGTTGCCACGTTATCCAAAACCAATTGTATCCACCAGTTTTGTTTTTGGGATTTGTCTTCATGTAAGGGAAAACATTATGCAAGTACACATGAATCCTCACGTTTGGCTCAAAATTACGAATCCAGGAATATTCTGATGGTGGTTCTATTCTACTTTGAGATTTTTGGTCCTATTGTGAAACACATATCATTAAGCATTTTTAGTTCGTTGATTTAAGTTTTTAATTTGAGTTAAGATGTAACTTTATATGAGAGCTTTTTACTGTAACAAAAAAGTTAGATGTGACCTTTTTAGAGCTTTTTACTGTAACAAAACTCGAATTTTAAACTGAAATCGGTAAAATAAACGGGGCCTAAATTACAGATTATGTAATTAGCTGGGGATGCTATAAATATAGGATCTAAATTGACTGTCTAATTTTTAGTGTCTTAATTAGTGTCTAACTAATTAAATTATACCACATCATCTTATGATAAACACAAAAGAGTAAATTAAAAAGCAATCTAAATTTTTTAAATGACGTGACATGATTAATTAGTTAGACACTAATTAAGATACTAAAATTAGACAACAAATTTGAGCCATAAATACATTCTTCTTTCTTTTGCATGTTTTGTTGCCTTCTTTAGCTTTCGTATGGTAATTAATCCGTGCCATTTTTGAAGTCTAGTTATTCATTTGTAGTGAAAATTAAACTCGAATTTTTTCACAGAATTTGTATGTTGGAAAACAAATATCTACAGGGGGTATTCCTCTAATTTTTCCCATTATATTAGTAACAATTCTTAAGCTTTCGATCATTGATATTGCTAAATATCTAAATTTGTCAGAAAAATAAGGAACATAGTACAAAAAAGAAAAGAAAAAAAAAATGTCCAACTGTTGTTAAATGTGTTAAATTTGGAAGCGGGTATATCTATAGGTGTCGAGTATTATATATCCTCAACATAATGCACAACAGCTTCGACCTATGTATATTAGTAACAATTCTTAAGCTTTTGATTTTTTTTTTTTTTTTTTTTTTTTTGTCTTTCTTCTTTTCTTTAAATTTGACAAGTCAAATTTCACATGCAAAGCCAGAGAATGTATATAGAATAGGAAGCTAATACACATCCTTGATTGCCTTCTTTTAAATAAATACAATTCAATCAAAATGTATGTGCTACTTTAGCAATATTGGCAAACGCCCCGTAGGACGTTCTGGAAAATTTATATTTCTAAGATGGTAGCCAAAAAACCACTCACGTTTAAAATGTCTTAAAAAAAAAAAAGAAATTATACCAATTATTTATTCTTGTTAATGAAGTGTGCTAAAAAATAAAAATAAAAAAAAAAGAAGAAGAAGAAGATAGATACTAGTGCGTTTTGGGTCAATAGACATCATCTGCCGCAATAAACAATTATAATGAATGGAATGAAATTTTTTGCCCTTTACGCGTGGAATGAAATTTTTAGCCCTTTTGGGTCAATGTCATGTGGTTTTGATTTGGCCACACGTCCTTTTTTTTTTTCTTTTTTTTTTTTTGGAAATAAAGGTCTATGTAATTTAAGTTTCAATAAAACGACATACTTTCTTTTAAGTCTTTTTTTTTTTTTTTTTTTTTTGTTGGAAATAAAGGTCTATGTAATTTAAGTTTCAATAAAACGACATACTTTCTTTTAAGTCTCTCCGAGTAATGCCGCTGGCTACTTAAATGTTGCCAACCCAAGTTGCCCAACTTAATCCACAGCTTGCAAGAGAAGAAGAGTAGTCTGTGAAACATCTGGATTAACTCAAATTCATTTTTTTTTTTTCATTTTTTAACCATGCAGATTGCAGATAAAGATAATTAATCCTCACCGAACAAAAGAGGAATGTATATATAGCTTAAAATATTAAGGGAAAAGATTCCACTAGTTTTTGAAAAAAAAAAGAAAAAAAAACTAATTCGTTTATAGTTTCATAGTAATCTCCATGTATTTTTGGGGGCCAAATTCTATATACGTAAGTTAACGTTACTAACGTATGATAAAGAAACAACAAAATAAAGAGGTACGCCAGTCTCGAAATGATAAAGAAACAACAAAATAAAAGGGCATGTCTATCCCTTTAAAGGTTTTAAATTCGATCGCAGCGAGGGATCATGTGGTCTCTTCTACGTCTGATTATAACCGAAGTATAATAAAAATAATTATAAAAACGACCCTTTCTTTTATCAAAATATAATTTGTCACCCCATATTTCACATAATAACAATAATACCCTTTCATCCTAGCTAAAAATTCGGCACTAGTTAAAAATTTAACTAGTGCATCACGAGCACATTATGCATCATATGTAAAATTTTGTAAACTTTGTGATGTGAGTGACAGTGTTTGTTGGTGTGAGTCCACACTACCACCTTGGTGTAATAATAGACGTGTTTTCCAATGTCTATCAAGATAGCCAGTACCCCACTTTTTTTATTAGAAAAGTATTTTTTACAATATTTACATACCGCACGCATTTCAACTTCACCTGATTTTGGATTAGGTCGTAGCTCCTCAGTGAAATGTTGCTATGCAGGAGCAGTTCGCGGTCTTTTTTCCCTGGCACGTTCTCCAACATCCTCGTTGTGCACCGATTGATAATCAACTGGAACATTATCCGGTTCAGTGGGGTTGGAGTTGTGCACCAACATTTCATCCTCGGAAAATGGTTGATCTCCAAAATTAGAGAAATTAAAAAAAAATTTCTTCCGTCATTTTTTGGAAAAAAAACATAAATTAATGTTAACAAAAGGGTTTATAAACAACAAACAATGTAAGTAACCATTAAATAGAAACAAAATATTATACAAAAAATAATGAGAATAGTTCGTCAGTACCTTTGTTTTTCGAGATGTAGCGGAATTTAATTGAAAATTATAAATGAAACAGATAAGAGAAAGGTAGGAATCGAGGGAGAAAACTAAGAATCAAAGAGATAGAGTTATGAGAGTGAGAGGAGTTGAGAGCTAAAAGAGATGTAGAAGTGTGAAGAATGTTGCGAAGGATGTAGGATATTTATAAGGGTTTTAGGGTGAAATTTTTGGATTATTACCGTTGGGCATGTCACGGGCCGGGCCGAAGTAACCGTTTCTGACCATTAGGCCCGTGACGTGTCGGGCCATGCTAAGGTTGCAGGCTGGGGAATTGAGGCCCAGTCCTAGCCCACGTGATGTGCCAGCCAGGCCCGGCCCATAACAGTATAGGGTCAGGCCGTACCAAACCCGGCACTATAGTGGGCTGGGCCGGGCCGTCCACAACTCTACTTCAAACTCATAATACCTTGACGACGACGATAACCCACCACCCCTGCCAGCAACTACTAGTACCGCAGGCATTATGGCCTTGCCAGAACACTAAAAAATGCGGAAAATTTTTAAAGAATTCACTACCTTGCTTGAAAATTGTCTTCTTCATTTTTTTTTTTAAACAAACACAAATCTGTTGTAGTGAGTTGTACTTTCCTTTTCATTTAGAGTGATTATAGGAATAGTTAGTTGCTTGATTTTGTAAATTCTGTATAATCTAGGCAGAGCTGATCTTTAGCCTTAAGTAGAGTTTATTTCCTTAATTAGTTGTGTTCTTAATAGGCTATCCTCTGTATATAACATAAAGACATCTTTTCTGTCGAAATATATAAAAAAAAAGGAGAATAAAAAAATCTTTGTTCTGTCATGGTATCAGAGCAGAGATCCTAGGAATGTTTTTGGATCTTTGCTACAATAGTGTCTAAACCAGAAAACCCAGGAAGAATGAGGACACCAACTGATTTGGTGGAGCTTGAAAATCGTGAGGAGAAGTCTGCAACGGCCATCCTCGAAGACTTGACGTCCAGAATGACCCAGGCCCTAACTCAGATTCAGACGCAGGCCCAGATCCCAGTGGCTGCCTATGATTTTGCCACTGCTCAGATTGGTATCAAGCTAGATGGTACCAACTATGCCTTATGGTCCCGGTTGTTGAGATGTATATCTCAAGAAGAGATAAGTTGGGATACATAAATGGTGATCTTCCTCAGCTTATACAGACCAATCCAGCCTTTAGAAAATGGAGAGCAAAAAATGTTATTGTGAAGGGATGGTTGATCAATTCCATGGACTCTTCATTAATCATCAACTTTATTCATTTTCCAACAGCTAAACAAGTATGAGAGTCAATTGCTACGACTTATTTTGATGGAAATGATATATCACAGGAGTATGAATTAAAGAGACGTGTGACTTGAATGAGGCAAGCCGGGGAATCCATTGAATCATATTACAATGGGCTTCAAGGTTTATGGAGGGAAATCGATTTCCGCCGTCTGAAACTGATGGTGCATGCTGGTGATATACAAAAGTAGAATTTTCTCATACATGAAGATAGAGTGTATATTTTCCTTGATGGACTAGACAATAGACTAGACAAGATTCGAAGTGATGTTCTACAACTATAGTTGTTTCCCACTATTGAACATGCATATGCTTATGTTCGAAGGGAAGATAACATACAAGCAGTAATGCTCACAAGCACAGAGAACATAACAGGTGCAGTTACGACATCGAAGGGAATAAAAGTATGACAACCATCTATGTTACAGATAGCCAAACATGCATCCTCATCTTCAAATGGTGGAAAGGCAAGCACACTTACAAAGACTAAGGGAACAACTAAGGGTGGAGGGAGTGGATGAACTTACTGCGGAAACACAAAACATGCCCGTGAAACATGCTTTAAGTTACATGGGTATCGAGAATGGTGGAATGAACTTAAGGCACGAAAATAAAAAGAAGCTACTGGTGGACAGGGACTAGCAACATTGGTGAATGTTGAACCACAATGATCTCTTGTTTCACATGTTGAATCTAAAAATGAACCTACAACTACTCTCAGTGACCAAGGTAATACTAGCTATGCCTTGCTCAATTCTACTCAAGATGATTGCAGGAAGTGGATAATAGACTTTGGGGCTACTGACCACATGACATTTTCTTC